CCAAAAAAATTTTTTTGTCTTATTTGTAAATAATTGGATACGTATTGCTAAATATCCATTTGAAAATGTTTTATCGAGAGAGGAGTCCACAAGTGTGATAACAGGTGAGGATCCTTTTTTCTAATACGTGATGCTACTTTGCGTTTCTCTGCTGACTGGAGAGTCCCCAATTCTGATGTCATTTTCTCCTCCCTCCGCCCACTCTTACCGCTGCTTTCTTTCCATTAGTCAGTGGCAGGCGAGGTGCTTCAGGGAAACCCCACTCCGAGTCACCTCAAGCGCCCTCCTTTTCCAGAGCGGGGGATCTCATGAAAGGGTTTCCTTCGCTTGTCTGTTCTTAGAATCAGGTGCAAATAGTTTCATGTGGATTTTTCTATGACTCCTCACTTCAGTCCTCTCTCAGGAGATCTATTATTAACGCCAATTCGTGTGTGAATGAGCTGCCCACTGAGCTGCCCATGGGCGGAGTGAAGGGACCCCAGGTCACACCGCTGGGGGTGGTTTGCTCCTCTTATTCACTCCAGGATGGATCCGTGTGCTGGCGGAAATGGCCCAGACAGGGGCTGACTCCAGAGCTGGGTTCTCTCTGTGGGTCAGTGACTGGCCGAGTGCAGGGCGGAGGGGCCCCCAAGGGCGTCACCTCCTAACTCTGAAGCAGGCAGCGCGGGTTCAGCGTGGGCCTCTGTGTCACTGGGCAAGTCCACCCAGGGTGTGTCTGAAAAATGTTTCCAGTTAAGGGACTGGGGCAACTGCAGGGAATCCTGGACCCTGTCTTATTAGACCGCCACTGTGACTAAGAACCTTTCTCACTGACCTCACTTCTCTGGTCACTTGGAATAGCTGGTAAAACCTGGTGGAAAAAGTAGGCGGGAGAGAACCGGGCAAAAATACCCTGACTGTAAAGACTAACTTCACGCTGATCTAATGCAGCCTGGGGGAATTCGAGGAGTGAGTTGCATGGTCAGGACTGAGAAACAAAAAAGAAACAAATCCACCCTAAGACAGGGTGCTGTTTGCCAAACACAGAATCAGGGGGTGGGTTTATTTCTTGAGTCTCAGTTTACAGCCTGTAACTTGCACATACCCCTCTCATAAGCTTTTAGAGAATTTCGGACAAGAGTGTTTTCATTCTAAACTTCAGCCAACAATGTAGCAAAAAGATTCCTTTCCCAGGAAGGAGTGACAGTGCAGGAGGGTGTGCCCGACCAACACCTCATTTGGTCTCCTAAACACAACAGGAGTAATTTCTTTCTTTTTTTTTTTTTTTTAATTTATTTATTTATTGAATCACTGTGGGAAAAGTTACAGAGCTTTCGGGTTTAGGTCTCAGTCATGTAAATATCAAACACATTTCCCTTTACCAATACTTATTTTTAACCCCGAACCCCAATAGACCCCCACCTCCCACCCCTCCCAATTCTTGTGAGGCAGATGAGTTCTAGTTAATACTCTATCTACTTTGACTAGATAGATTGTTTCGATAGAAGATGCACAATTATTGTTTAGAGTTTACGACCCACCCCCCACAATCAGATATGCTGAAACAGCGTTGTGAAATGATTTGCTTTCTACAACTTGGTTTAAGAATAAAATGATGTGTTTGAAAAATGATGGTTTTGAATTTCTGCTATTTTACTTATTGACCCTGGAAGAATTTCTATTAAAAGTTAGATAGTTAAGAGATTGGTTTCTGTGCCCTGGAGTCGTGGCCGTGCCGGAGAGCCGCTCGTGGGGGGCAGCTGGCGACCTCGGTGGGGCGTGGGGGACGGCCCACAAAGCCCCTCTTCCCATGAGGTCCCCGCCGCTCCCGCCGAGCCCGGCTCAAACCTGCTGTCCACAAGGCTCCCGTGCGGCCACCATCTCAGCAGGAGTAATTTCTGAGCGCAGAGCCAGGAGTAAGCCCTGACCACCACCAGGAGTGGCCCCCCAAACAAAAACAACAACAAATAGATTCCTTCCCTCCTGCTGAAGGAATTTCAGTAGTAAGAATGGGGGGAGTTTTGCAGAAAGAAATCTTCTAGGGCCCCCTGTGGTTAACGGGGCCCACAGTCAACCCCCCTCCCAGGGATGGCGATTCTCTTATGGTAATAATTGCAGCAAACAACATTTGTGGAGTGCTGGTTTTGGGGGGCATTTGTGGCTAGAAATCTACGTTGTCTCTGAACCCTCACCGGCCTGAGTGGGGAAGTTTCCTTCTTCATAAAGGAACCAGCGAATCTGCACATGGTAAAGAACTTTCTCGGGGCTGGTTAAAGAACTTTCTCATGGCTGGAGTGATAGTACAGCGGGTAGGGCATTTGCCTTGCACGCACCCAACCTGACTGGATCCCTGGCACCCCATATGGCCCCCCTAGCACCGCCAGTGCAGAACCAGGAGTAACCCCTGAGCAGTGCCAGGCGTGACCCAAAAAGACAAAAAGAGGGGAGGGCTTTGAAATGGGGCATGGAGAAGGGGAAGGGTGCCAGAGAAATTGTATGGAGAGAATAAGGCACTTTCCTGGCATGTGGCCAAGCCGGGCTCAATCTCCAGTATTCTATATGATCTCTGGATCACCACTAAGAGCGATTCCTGAGTGCAGAGCGAGGAGTAACTCCTGAGCACTGCTAGGTGTGACCCCAAAACAAACCAAAAAAAAATGATGATATGGGTAAGGGGGAATACGATCCCATTGGCTGGTTGTTTCCCAAGAGGGGGATCTCCCGATCGCCTTGGCCCCAGAGTATAGGGAGGATAAGGAAAGAAATGGAGTGAAGGGGAAAGGGAGCAGGAAGGGGAGAAGAGACAGATGAGAAGCAGGGTCAAGGGGATTCAGTGACCTGGTGTTAAAGAATGACAGGGCTAAATATCCAAACCACAGGGTCAACAACAGTGAAATCACAAGAGCCAAACGTAATAACCAAACTTCAACAGTGCCTGTCAAGAAGGCAAGCTGGGGCTGGGCGGAGGGCAAAGGGGTAGGAGAGGGAACCTGGGAACACTGGCGGAGGGAGGTTGACCCTGGTGGCGGGATTGGTGATGGAACACCAGATGTCAAAAACCCAACTATGAATAGCTTTGGAATTCACAGTGCTTTAATAAAATTAAAACTTTTTTTTGGGAAAAATTGTTTTAGAGAGTGAGACTTACCTCAACAGTGAGACTTAGGGTCCAGAGTGACAGTACAGATGGTAAGGCATTTGCCTTGCCCGTGGACAAACCAGGTTCCGCCTCCAACATCTCATATGGTCCCCTGTGCACTGCCAAGAGTAATCCTGAGTACAGAGCCAGGAGTAACCCTTGAGCATCTTTGGGGCAAAAAGAACAAAACAAAACAAAACAAAAACAACCCCTTCAAACCAAAATTACTACCTCCTCCCCCTACACATACACACACACACACACATACACACACACACACACACACACACACACATACACACACACACACACGTGAGGCTTAAGGCCAGAGCGACAGCAGAGCAAGTAGGGCTCTAGCCCACCCAGGTTCAATTCCTGGCACCCATATGATCCCCTGAGCCCTCCAGGACTGATTCCTGAATACGGAGCCAGGAGCAAGCCCTGAGCATCGGGGTGGTATGTCCCTCCTGCACCCCCAAAAGAGGGAGGCTTAAATGTGGGAAAGGTTCCAGGCTGCATTGTGGGTGGAAATGCCACAGGCATTTCCCAAAGTCTGTTTGGACATTAGGTGGGAAAGAGGCTCGCTGAGCTCTGGGTATCCCTTCTCATTCTTCTAGACTTCTCCTTATGCTTCAGGTTCGCACTCAGTGTCTCACCACTTGTCATCATCCTTCCTTACAGCGTTTATTGACTTCACCATGATGCCAGCCTCCACACTGGGCACTTGCCCCCTTCAGTGCTCGCAATAGTCCTGCGAAAAGTCACCAATAGATAGTCCAGTCATTTGAAGGAGGAAGAAACGGAGTCTTGAGTCTGTGTGATCAAAGACACTGGGAGGTGAGTAACAGAGCTCTGCTTCCAGCCCTGGGAGACCAAGGACATCATTTGCTCCACCCTCCCTCCTTTCCACCCTGCCTTCTGCCATGCTCACCAACCGTCTCTGGGGTCTCCTAGCTCAGATGGAGACTGCAAGTTCCTGGCTGCTCCCCTGCTGCTGTGTCGCCCTCGTCTGCCTGCAGCTGCCCGTGTGTGTGTCAGGTAGGACTTGGGCACCTTCGTGCAGGCTGCTGACACCCGTTGCTGGACCCCTCTGGACCCCTAAGTGCAAGGAGGTCTGACCCGAGGTGCTGCTTCTTGGGTTCTTCTTGTCCCCCGCCCTTTTCAAGGTCCTTCCCCCAAGTGTCACATGTCAGGGACCAGAGCTATAGTACTGTGGGTAGGGTGACTGACCCGGCATCCCATATGGTCTCCAGAGCACGGACAGAAGTAATTCCTGAGTGCAGAGCCAGGACTAACCCTTGAGCACCATTGGGTGTGCCCTCCCACCAAAAAGAAAAAGATACGTACTTGCACGCGGCTCACCTGTGTTCAATTCTTCCGCCCCTCTCAGAAAGCCCAGCAAGCTACTGAGAGTATACCGCCCTCACGGCAGAGCCTGGCAAGCTCGCCGTGGCATATTCGATATGCCAAAAACAGTAACAACAAGTCTCACAATGGAGACGTTATTGGTGTCCGCTCGAGTAAATCGATGAACAACGGGAGGACAGGGCTACAGTGCTATTTCCCAAGTGCCATCTATGGGCTGGAGAGATAGTACAGTGGATAGGGTGCTTGTCTTGCATGCAACTGACCCAGGTTTGATAATCCAGCATCTCACTTGGTTCCCTGAGCCCACCTGGAGTGATTCCTGAGTCCAGGAGTATCGCTGGGATCGCTGAGTCCAGGAGTATCGCTGAGCATCGCTGGGTGTGGGCCCCCCCAAAAAAGAATACACCAAAAAACCAAGTGTCATCTGTCCCTATGATAATCCTCCTCCTTCCTTGCCGAGGTCTTGCTCTATCCCCTCATCCCCTTTCTTTGTCCACATCACACAGGGGACAGCATGTTCCACCTGGCCCCTCTAGGGAGCACAGCTGAGCTCCTCTGCCCGATCTCCCTCTGGCCCACCAACGTGCCCACTGAGGTGAGATGGTTGCGGTCCCCGCCGCTGCCGGGGCTCTCGCTGGCTGTTCATGTGTTCCGAGACGGGCAAGCCCAGACAGAAGGCCAGATGCCGGAATATAAGGGGAGGACGGCGCTGGATATAGACCTGCAAGAGGGAAGCGTCACTCTGAAGATCCACCACGTCCGGCTCGAGGACCGAGGGCCATACCTCTGCCAGGTCCAGATCAGAAACCTGACTCGAGAAGGCACGGTGACCCTGCAGGTGGCCGGTTAGTCATTTTCTAAAGGGGAGCCGAGGTGCCCCCCAGATGGAACCATGGGGTGCAGTTACTGCTAGGAGTGGACTGCAAGGTGTCGGCATGGAGCCAGAGAAGTCCTATTCCAGGGGGAGGCTACCAGGGATGGCAAAATGGCAGTCAAGCAAGTGCCAGGGACAGGCACACCTCTCACGGCGGAAACCGTAGGGAAGGGAGCGAGAGGACTAACGGGGACCATCCCCCAGTCCCAGCTGCCACCTCCTCTCCTTCAGTCCTAGGCACTGACCCGTACATCCAAGTGAAGGCCTACGATGCGGGTTGGCTCCAGCTGGTGTGTAGGTCGGTGGGCTGGTTCCCGAAGCCTTGGGCCGAGTGGAGAGATCCTCAAGGCAGGGTGCTCCCCTTGCTCTCAGAGGACCACTCTCTGGATGAAGCTGGCCTCTTCCACGCAGCTGTGTCCAGCAGAGTCAGGGACAGCACCGTAGGGAACGTGACCTGCACCATCCGCAACTCGGCTCTCGGCCAAGAGAAGATCACGGCCATGGCCATAGCAGGTAATGCTGACCAAACCAGCTTGGAGCGCCTGGTGACTCTATAGAAAACATTTATTCAATGGGAGCTTCACAATTTGGAAGGTGGGGGAAAACACCTCGCAGTGCTCAGGGGCTACTCCTAGCTTTGTGTTCAGGGATCATGGCTGGGGATCGAACTCACATCTCTTGTACAAGGCATTGTACTCTACACTGAGCCATCTCTCAATTTGTTTTCTTTTCTTTTTTTTTTTTTTTTTTTGCTTTTTGGGTCATACCTGGCTATGCACAGGAAAGGAGTTACTCTTGGCTCTGCACTCAGGAATGCAGGAATTACTCCTGGGAGTGCTCAGGGGACCACATGGAATGCTGGGAATTGAACCCGGATTGGCCGCATGCAAGGCAAACACCCTACTCGCTGTGCTATCGCTCCGGCCCCTCTCAGTTTGTTTTCAATCGTGAGAGTACTGTGTTTATGGTAGAAAACTTGGGGGGAAAATAGAGAATATTTTTTAAAAACACCCTCGCCTACAGTCTCATAAAGTTAAACAGATACAAACATTTCAGGATTTTCTTGTATAAATGAATTGTTAAAGCCTGCTCAGACTCTCTCTTTGTGTAACCAAAACTGAAACTATGTCACAGCACTTAATGGCCAAATTCAGAAGATTTTTGTTGTTGTTTGAGCCACACCTGGCTGCGCTCAGGGCTTACTCCTGTCTCTGTGCCCATCACTCCTGGTGGGCTTGGCGGGACTATAGCTTAGTGTTGCTGGGGATCAAATCCAGGTTGGCTGCATGCAAGGGGACCCTCCTACTCACGGCACTGTGGTGCTGGCCCCTACGAAGAGATTTGATTGAAGAGGATAGAAGGAAGGGAAGTTCAGGGACTTGCCCTTGTATGGGAGGGGTCTCCTAAGCAGGATTCTGTCCTAGGTTTGTAGTTAGGGGCGTGGACAAGCATTGTTCATTGGGTTTAAAGTGTTTGGGGCAGGCAGGCTGGGTAGAAAAGCGGGAAGTTGAGATGTTTAGTTTCTGGCCATGGAGATGATTATCAGGTCCAAATTCAAGACATTCCAGCTTCTTGTAGTGGCTGAATCTGCTCCTGCCTCATTTCCTCCTCCCTATCAGTATCTCCAAGTATCAGGGTGTGTGTTTTAAGGGTTTTTCTTTTGTTTTGTTTGGGGGCCACAGCCAGTAGTACTCAGGGGTTACTCCTGGCTCTTCACTCAGGAATTATCCCTTTCCCGAGTGCTCAGCGGCCCTTATGGAATGCTGGGACTCAAACCCAGGTTGACCGTATGCAAGGTCAGCAGGCCCTACCCATTGTACTATTGCTCTGGCCCCCAAGTGTGTGTGTATGTGTTTACATGAAAATATTATCGTGCCTGATGTCTTGCGCTTAAAATGTCACAAGCATTCTTTACAACGTGATTTTTCATTGTGTTTTTTATTAAGTTAGCCTCACGAGAAGAACTAAAAGCCCTTTCTGGACACTTGGCTGCTTTCCAACTTGTCCTCATATTTGAGCTGTGAACATTTTTGCATATTCTGGGAAGTGATGTCGGTGACTTGTCTTTTTTTTTTTTTTTGCTTTTTGGGTCACACCTGGCGATGCACAGGGGTTACTCCTGGCTCATTCACTCAGGAATTACTCCTGGCGGTGCTCAGGGGACCATATGGGATGCTGGGAATTGAACCCGGATCGGCCGTGTGCACGGCAAACGCCCTACCTGCTGTGCTATCGCTCGAGCTCGTTGGTGACTTGTCTTGACTATCAAAAGATTCTGGGAGTATAACAGAGAAGGTCTAGTTCCACAGCCAAGTTAGGGTCAATCCAGTGAGACACCAGTGACTGGTCGAGAAAGAGCTGCAGTGGCCACCAGCCAGCGGATGGTGGACTCCTGTCTTCAGGCAACCATCTTGTCTGCAGGGTTCCAAGAAGGTGTTTATAGGGGAAAAGACAGGACAAAAAGGGTGGGCTGCAGACCAGTAGGCACCAGAATGGACGAAAAATTCCTCTCAGGAGCTGGTCGCCTGAGGCACACTCTTATCAGCAAACCTAAACAAATTACGGGTGAGGCTTTGGGGGAAAGATAAAGCGAACAAACTGCCCTTTTCTAGGCTTTGGAGCAAGGACAGTTGCCCTTGTCTAATATTAATCATTAGTCAGGTTTCAATACTAGAGATCTTGTTCTCAGGGTACTCAGGGTGCTCTTGGCTCTGCACTCAGGAATTATTCATGGTGGTGCTCAGGGGACTGTGTGGAGTGCCCGAGACTAAACCCTGGTTGGCCGTGGGCAAGGCAAATATCCTTGCACTATCTCTCTGGCCCCAAGAGTATAGATGTTTTGTTATTTTATTATCTTAATTTGGGGAGTGACCCACAGCTGGAGGTGCTCAGATGTTACTCCTGCTTTGCCCTCAAGAATCACTCCTGGTGGGTTTGGGAGACCATATGGGATGCTGGAGGTCAAACCCAGGTGGGCCACCTTCGAGGCGAGCGCCCTACCATTCCAGCCCCCTATCTTAATTCTTTGGTTTTGGGTCATACCTGGCAGTGCTCAGAGCTTACTCCTGGTTCTGTGCTCAGGGAACCATGTGGGATGATACCAGGGATCAAACCCAGGATGTCCACATGCAAGGCAAGCGGTTTACCTGCTGTACTCTGGTTCCAGCCCAGAGTCTGAACCTTTTAAAAGCTCTTGGAGCATGGAACCACGAGGCAAGGAAGGGTGGTCTGGGAATCATAAAAAAGAAGGCCTTGTGTGAGAGACTTGCACCTCTGCAAACCCTGTCATTTAGTCTCTCTGGTGTCCCCACCCCCCTCTTACCACGGCCGTTACTTCTCACTCAGAGTTAAGTGCTCTCCGTGTCTGATGTCTTCCCATTATTCCTAGTACCTGCAGGAACTGTTGCCGCTCTCACTTTGCAAGGGCACATCAGGCCTGGAGAAAGCCAGGGCCTCGTGCCAGGGCGTTGGTCCCACAGGGGTGGAGCCAGGGCTCCCACTCAGCCTGGTGTCTTCATTACTTGCACGGCACCTCTTCTCTTTCTCTTTTTTACATTGCATCTTTCTTTTCTCCTTTCTCTCGTGCCAAGGCTTCAGACCTCCTACTATGGCAAGTGCTTCTGGTCCTGCTGCTGGGGCTCAGGGCAGAGGAGGGTGATTGACGTGCCGTAGCAGAGTGAGAATTTGTTTTGTTTTGTTTCTGTGGGCTCCTAGCTGCAGCATTTGTGGGCTAGTCTGGACCTGGCTCTGTGTTCCCGATGGCTCCTAGCAGTGCTCTGGGGCCCCATGCAGTGCCAGGGAATTAAACCTGGGCTTCCCAGGAGCTCAGCTCTCCGTCTCCAGGGTGAGGACGTGAAAGGGGAGGCAGGTGGGTGCTCACGAGAAGACCTTGGGTAACTACTGCCTTCTGTTTTTCAGAGATCCAGGATTCTTTTCATGGAATTATAGGGTAGGATGAAGTTGCGGTTGAGAAGCTGAGTTTAACTCATTCTCTTCTGGCAGGATCATGGAAATCACTCCTAAAAGTTGAACCTCAGGGCTGGAGCGATAGCACAGCGGGTAGGGCATTTACCTTGCACATGGCTGACCCGGGTTTGATTCCCAGCATCCCATATGGTCCCCTGAGCACCACCAGGAGTAATTCCTGAGTGCAGAGCCAGGAGTTACCCCTGTGCATCACCAGGTGTGACCCCCCCCCAAAAAAAAAATGAACCTCCCGCATCAGAGTTATCCCTGGCTCGCTGGGGTCTTTAAGTCACTGAAAGAGGGAGAGAGTTGTGCCCAGCTCCCTGGAGGTTATGGAGGTAGTTGCCTTGTGTCGAGTCATCTCTGAGGTGAAGCCCTCCCTGGCGGCGGGGAAACAGCATGCAGATGCCTCCTGAGGGGCCTCACTGGTCATTTCTGCTCCAGCCCCATCTCCAGGGACACTCTCCTCTTCTGATGTAGCTCTGGCTGTGATTCTGCCTGTGCTGGGACTCATCATCATGGCGGGCATTGGCCTCATCTGGAAGCAGAGAAGATCAAAAGGTTAGTCAATGGTAAAGGAGCCCAGGCTTGCAGGGACCGGGCTGGCCTCTGCCGGAAATGGCAGGAGGAAGACAGGAAGTTGATGCTGACAGGGCGACTACCCTTCCATTGGAGATCTTGCAAGTTGGGTGGGAGAAAGCTGAGACAGTCCTGCTGGACTTCAGGCAGCTGAGAGGATTCAAGGAACTGCAGAATGTTCCATGGAAGAGCTTTGTATTGCTGTACTTTGGGAAATTGGAAAATAACTGATCATACACAGCTTCTGATTAAGAAATCTACCGTAAACAAAACAGGTCTGGAGAGATACTATGGGATTAAGCCACTTGCCTTGCAGGTGGCTGTCCCCAAAGTTTGATCCCAGAAACTCCAAGAGTGACCCCAAAGCACAGAGCCAGGAGTAATCCCTGAGCATAGCCAAGTATAGCTCAAATACTGAAAGGAAAGAAATCTATTGTTGGGGGCAGGGAAAGAGATCAGGGGTCAAGGGTACATGACACAGGTTTTGACCCTTCGCTCCTCATGGTCCCTCCAGTACCACTGCTGTGACCCAGGTGGCCTCCAGCACCACAGGGCCAGAGCAGCGCCCCATCACCAGCTTGAACATTGAGTCATCCAGCCCAATTTGCCAAGTATCACCAGGAACGGCCCTCAGGTCCCCAGGTCCCCTGATTGGGAGTCTATCCCCGAAATGAAAAAACAAACAAACAATCCAAGTCTGATCCTTGAAAACGCTCCTAAATATGAAGGCATTTCACAAGCTCTCTTGGTTGCTAAGGACCTTGAAAGTCACATAACCCAACTCTTCTCCCCCTACCTGATAGTTTGAAGACTTGATAATCTTTTCAAGCGGTCAGACCCAGAGTGTCGAGGAACAAAGTCCTATTCAGGCAGTCTGGGTGTCTTTGGATGGCACAGCCTGACGGGAAAAAAACAAAACAAAACAAAAAAAACACTCTCTCAGAACCTGAACTTACAGCTCTGTCTCTGTGTCTCCATTCTAGAGAGACTTCTCTATGAACAGGTGATGGAGGTAGGTAAGTGTCTGGGCTGGGTAGGGACATTTCTCTATTTTGTACCGTTCTTGGAGAGCCCGGCAAGCTACCGAGAGTATTCGATATGCCAGACACAGTAACAACAAAGTCTCCAATGGAGACGTTACTGGGCCCGCTCGAGCAAATCGACGATCAACGGGAGGGCCTTTACCTTTACCTATTACTCCCTCATCCCCACCCCTCACCCCAGTCTAAATTTTGTTCCTAAAAATCCCGATATCTATTGTCCCGGTAGTGGAATTCACCTGTCATTTCTGGCTTTTACTACTTCAATTATCCTAGTAAGTAAACAACCTCCAGTAAGCTATAATAGTTTGATTATTTTCAATCGTTGCTTGATTTCATTCTGTGGAAGTTGTGTGGGTTTAACATGAGGGGAGGCTTTTGTTTATTCTAGAAATAATTGTAATTGGCTGCTGAATGCTGGGGATACAATGGTGGTTATATGTAGACAGTTTGGGGTGGGAGTGTGGAGCGTGTCAAAGGGCTGAGACGGACGTGTCATTTGTGGGAGGCCTTGGTTCCTTCACTTCAGAGCATCAAGCACCACCACTGGGCATGGCCCAAGAGACAAAAGAAGAAGCAAAAGCAGGTAGTCTGCCCTAGAGCTTTCAGCTGGAGCTGGGAGGTACACGTGGATGAAAGAAAATTAAACCGCAAGTATACAAAAGCCACACAGAATCGAAGACGGCTGTGAACACCGCGAGGAACCCCCAGCTTCTGAGCAGGGACAAGGCCGGGAGGAGTCCTGCGAGGAAGTGACGTTTGATCTGGATTAGAGGCAGGCCTGGGGCAGGCGGGAATAGAAAACCAGCACAGCTGAAAGAACAGCTTGAGAAAAAAACATAGTTGGGGGTTGGCATGGGAGAGAGCCGAGCTCCTCTGAAAGGCTCAAAAGATGTGGCAATTGAAAGGGCCCAAAGAAATTAGGAGCAACAATCTCTGACAAGGACATTTGTCCTTGTCTTACCCTCTGCTCAAGGCCTGAAGATTAGGGACAAGTTCCTCATTTTGGCCTTGCTCTGTTTGGGTTTATAGATAAGATGAAGTCTGCCTCTGACCAGCCCAGGATGGAATTCAGTCTTTGTTTTGGCATTCACCCTTTCTTCCTTTCTTCCCCTTTTTTTTCCCCCTACAAAAAACCCCCTGTGACCTTGCAAAAAAGTCAGTTGCCTTGAGGACATGGATACAGACCCCTACCTTTTTTTTTTTTTTTTTCCCCAGTGTTTGGGCCAGACTCTGCGATGCTCCTGACTCCTGGCTCTGTGTTTAGGGATCATTCTGGCGCTGTTTGGCGGGGATATACATGGTGCCAGAGGTTGAACCAAGGTTGGCCAGGTGCAAAGGAAGAGTTAGTTTTATTCCCCTCCCCTGCACTATCTCTTCAGCCTCCCAGATGCCGATTTTACAGAGAGAAAAGTGGGCCCTTCTTCAGAAAGGGTGGTGGCTGCCGATGTCAAAGGAACAATCCTCAGCTGGTTCCGGCAGGCTTATGCCATCTTATCTGTAAAAAGTAAGGTTGCCGCTTTGGTTAAGGACACAAAATGAGTGCAAACTGCCTTTATCTCAGGCACCGAGAGGGGAAGAGCAAGGAAAGTCCTAGAGAGCTGCTCTGGTTTCCTTGGGCCAGTTTCAGAGTTGGAGATGGGACAGGTAAAATCAGTAGGAACCAGGGACCCTCACAGAAACGGCACAGAATCTCAATTTTTTTTTTTACTTTCCTTTCTCTAGAAAATCTTCTCTCAGACCACGCAAAAGAAAAAGGTAATTGCACGTTTGAAGTAAGAGGTAGGGCACAAATCCCAACATTCACACACACACGTCTGTTTCCTATTAATATTGGAATTTGTTTCCTGGTGTTAGGGGCTCTGGGGTTGGTGGCAGTGGGGGAGGGGTGTCTATCAAAATCTGTGAGTTCCCTTCCACCACTCCTCTTTCCACTGTGGTCTGCAGAACGGAGTGGGCGTCCTGCCACATTGGCTGGCACCGGTGGTCCTACTCTTCTTGGCTCTGGAGGGCACTGGAACTTTCCTTATCTCTAAAGTGGGGACAGAAAAATCCCCTCCCCTGATGACTTCAGAATGGAAAGAGATCATTAGTAAGACCCTCTTCCTAAGAGATAGCTGAAGAGAGTGTGTAGCTGGGAAACCCCTTGTCTTGCATGCAGCTGACCTGGGTTCAATTGCCAGCACTGCTTACGCTGCACTAGTGGAGAATAAGCCCTAAGCCCAGCCATGTGTAGCTCAAAAACAAAGTGTTTTTTCACACCTTCTATATCATGCCTGGGTTTCCTTTTTTTTTTTTCCTTTTTGAGTCACACCTGGCCATGCACAGGGGTTACTCCTGGCTCTGCACTCAGGAATTATCCCTGGCGGTGCTCAGGGGACCATATGGGATGCTGGGAATCGAACCCGGGTTGGCTGCATGCAAGGCAGATGCCCTACCTGCTGTGCTATTGCTCCAGCCCCTCCTTTTTCTCATTCCCACTTAACTCTTCATGAATGCAGTTTTTGCTCTCGGCCATGGAGGGTATAAGCAAGGCACCAGGTACAACCCCTGTTCTGCTCAGGGACAGGGACTTGGCCCTTTCCCAGTCTAGCTGGGGAGAGAGAAATTATGAGTTCGTGAGGGCTCCAGAGGCAATGGCTTGGGTATCTCTACCCCTGACGTCTGTTCCACAATGGTCCAGCTGCAGAGCCACCCTCGGGGGACACAGAGAGCAGAAATAGTGCGGGGTGGCCGTACAAGTCCCCAGTTTGGGAGTCAGACTGTGTGGGTGTGAGTCTTACCTTCTGGACACTTACTGGGTGGCTGGATAATTTGGGGATGCTTCTAGGTCCTTCTGAGCCTTAGACCACCAGTCTGTAAAGCAGGACTAATGATTATCTCTACTTCGTATTGTTGAGAGGATCTTGCCCACCTTCTTACAAAAACAGGACGCAATCAATGGAGGTTCTTTGTAGTCAACATGGTAAAAGGCAAAAATTAGCCGTAAACCTCCTCTGGGCCATTTCCTCTTGGGATTGATTGTCCCAATGCCTGTTGCTGACCAATGCCCACTCCTTAGCACAGGGCCCAGCCATGGACTCAGATGACTCACTTCAATTCTGTGCTCATTCATACCTTGTTCTCTCTTCTAGGAAGACTCCACAGAGCTCTCAGTAAGTCCTGCTCCTTGTCTTAGCGGCAGACAACACCCTCCCTTTGGGATGAATTTCTCAGCTTGGCTTCCGGGACCAAAGACAGTGGGCAGGTCATCAGATTTGGGGAGTTTCCAGCTCTCAAAAGCCTTTTTTTCTTCAAATATGCCCTGCATAACCATCATCTCCTGAGTGGGAATTATTTCTCCTGTACCTCCCATGGGCGAGGTCCCTGGAAAGTACTTTCATCACCAGACAGGCCTTGCCCACAGGGAGGCCCTAGGGAGCTGGATCCTCATTAAACGGAATGGGTGGAGGGGTGTCACCCCACCGTGTCACCTGTGGGGAACTTCGTAATAACAACAACAAATCAAATCTGCAGACATATGATGTGTCTGTGATTTTTACATTGAGAAAATATTCCGACAACCCCATAGAAACTCAGCAAGTTTTAGATGAACGCATATTGTGTTCCTCCCCGCTAGATCACATTTCTGTGATTATTGCCTAAGAGGCAGTGTTTGTTTGGTCTGCAGATGGGACTTGGCTCCCACAGAGGTTTGCTGACCTGTGGCCCACAGCCAGGAGCCATTGCTATTGCAAACACTATCTTGGGGGGAGGGTCGGGGTCTGGCCAGGGAGACTTTGAGACAGGAATATGGTTGGGATGGGATTGTAGCATCCTGGAAATGTTCTGATTTGTCAAACTCTTTTCCTTCCATAGAGAAGCTTCGGAGTGAACTGAGTAAGTTCCCCACGTCCTTATAACTTTTCCGAACAACTTGCTTCTTGTTGGTTCCATTTCATCCCTCCTGTTTTTTCTTTTCCAGAATTGAAAAGAGCGGCAGCAAACTCAGGTGAGAGGCACTTCCCTCTCTCCTGGTGCCAGCATACCCACCCGCTATGAGCTCCCCATTTCCCTTTCTCTCCGTCATTTTAACAATCCCTATCTTGGTCTTTCAGGCTGGAGAAGGGCCCGACTACACTTTGGTAAGTTACACCTGTCAAGTGGACCTGCATTTCAGAGCCCACTGCTACCTACCACATTCCTTTGGAATGTAGACGGTAAAGAGGAGAGGGAGGTTGGGCTCTACCTATCTGTGCTCAGGGTTTACTCCTGGCTCTATGCTCAGGAGTCACTCCTAGAGGTACTCAAGGGACCATATGTAGTCCTGAGAACCAAACTCAGGTCAGCCGCGTTACCCACTGTATTATGTCTCTGGTCCCTGTAGACTGTAATTAAACTTTTAAAAAGATCAGATCTAGTGGACCTGAGTGCTAGTACAGGGGTTAAGATGCTTTACCTCACATATAGCCAACACCACTTGGATCCTGGGCATCACAATATCATCTCCCTAGCACTGTCAAGAATGCTCCCTGAGCACAGAGCCAGGAGTAGTCCCTGAGCACTGCCAGGTGTGACCCCACCGCAACCCCCCAAAAAAAAAATTATATCTGGAATAAGGATGTGGCTCAGTGGTAAAACATGGACCTTGTATTTGAGTCTCTGGGTTTGATGCTAAGGCACGCACACGTACACGTGTACACATACACACACACACACACACACACACACAAAGGGTGGGGGCCAGGAAGTCTACTGATAGGGTTGAAAATGGTTGAGCACGTACTTCGCATGCAGAGACCTTGGGTTTAATCCCTGGCACAGCTGGGATTGACTCCCCCCCCCCCCAGCACTGAACTGGGACCCTCTCCCCAAGCATTTCTGGGTGAGAGTACCAATAAGTATTGGTTTTCTATGGGTTTTGAGATTTTTCTTGTTTATCAGTTATTTGCATTACTTCTTTGTGACTTGTATGCTCCTGTCTGATTCTGGCTACTTTTTGTTTGTTTGTGGGAGACAAGGGGTGGTGTGGGATTGGGTTTTGGGGTGGTAGTGGCTGTGTGTGTTTGGGACCACCCTTAGTGGTGCTGAGGGGCTGCTCCTGGCTGGTGCTTAAGGTTTGCTCCTGGCATTACCCAGGGGACCATGTGGTAGCGAGGACAGACCTGGGCTCCTGCATGCAAAGCATGCGCCCAGCCCTTTGAGCCATCTTCTGGGCCCCTGGTTACTTCCGTTTGTTTGTTGTGGGGTCAAACCTGGCGGTGCTCAGGCCTTACAGCTGGTTCCATGCTCAGTGATCACCACTTGGGAGACTTGGGGGACCATGTGGCTGATCATAACAAACCCAAATTGCCTGTGTGCAAGGCAAACACTTTACTTGCTACTGTACTGCCTCTCTGGCCCTTCACTACCTGGTACTTCTTTGGTCTGTTTCTCTGTTTGCTTTTGAGCCATACCCAGTGGTGCTCAGACATTACCCAGAGATCACTCCTGGTGGGACCCAGGGGACCATCTATGATGCTGAGTATTGAACTTGGGTGGGCTTTATGCTTGGCAAGTGTCCTATCTGTTGTACCATCTGTCCAGCCGCACACTCTCATTTTGATCTTCAGACGCTTCTTTCTATAAAGAATATGTTAAACCTTTGTCATAATTTTCTGCAGTTTATACTTATGTGATTTATGCAGTTTTCAATGCATGGGCATTTTCTTTTCATTTTTGTTTTTGGGGCCACACCTGGCTGTGCTCAGGGCTTCCTTCTAGCTCTGCACTCAAGGATCACTCCTGTTGGTGCTCAGGGACAGTATGTGGTACCAGGATTCCTGATTGACTGCATACAAGGCATGGACCTTATCCGCTATCTTTCAGACTTTTTTTTTTTTTTTTGCTTTTTGGGTCACACCTGGCGATGCACAGGGGACCATATGGGATGCTGGGAATCGAACCTGGGTCGGCCGCGTGCAAGGCAAACGTCCTACCCGCTGTGCTATCTCTCCAACCCCAAGACCTCTTATTTTTTTGTAGTTAGATTTATTCTGCTTTTCCTGTCTAATCTCCTCTGTGATTTCTAGTTTTGGGAAGTCCTCATCAGACAATTGGATAAATGGCAAGGGCCTATCTGCTATATTATTCAGCATTTGGCTGAGGATCTCAGGAAAGAGGAAGGGATGGAAAGATGCCTTAGCAGAACATACTACCAAAAAGTTTCTCAATTTTATATTGAAATATTTGCCTATTCTTGGGGGCTGGAGAGATTGTATAGCAGGTAAGATGTTTGCCTTGCACAAGGCTGACTGGATTTGATCCCCAGCATTCCATCAGATCCCCTCAGCACTGCCATGAGTAATTCCTGAGTGCAGAGTCAGAAGTAACCTCTGAACATCTCTGTGTGTGGTCCAAAAACAAACAGAAAAAGAGTTGCCAGTTCTCTTTCATTATCTCTCAAACTGTTCACATTTGCATCTTCTCTTTGAAAGTCCTTTATTGCACTACTTTGGGGTCCTTGTTAATTTTCTGACTGCACACCCCCATTTCAGTTTATGCTGTACTTGACAGGCAGATGCCACAGCACTGATGAATTTTGGTCACTTGTAAGAAAAATAGGTCACTGGGGCCGAATCGATAGCACAGCAGGGAGGGCATTTGCCTTGCAAGCAGCTGACCTGGGTTCAATCCCTTGGCATCCCATATGGACCCCCAAGCACCACCAGGATCCCTGAGCACAGAACCAGGAGTGATCCCTGAGCATTGCTGGCTGTGGCCTTCCCCACCCCCCCTCAAAAAAAAAAAGAAAGAAAAACAGGTCACTGTGCTTGGCATTCTAGGAGCTCACGGGCACACCTCATGCACCATCTGGCTTACTCTTGGCATCTCGAATGAGGATGGATTTCATGTGCTTAACTCTCCAAGGAAGGCCTATTTTCTGTGCTTGAGGAAGGAGACATTCTTAACATGATCGTCCTACTCCACAATTGGAGGGAAGAATCTTTGTCTATCCAGTAACAGTGAAAACAACAATTACTTTAGTCAAGAAACTGTTATTCATTCACTGCTTTTGTTGTTGTTGTTGTTTTGGGACCACATCCTGGTCAGTACCTGGTGGGTCCTTCCTGGAGGTGCTCAGGAAATTCTATAGTGTCAGGGCTTGAACTTGGGCTTCCTACCTGCAAGGCCCTTTGAGCTCTCCCCCGGGCCCACACACAAACTCATGTGAAAACAATGCACTCTCTAATGCATTAGCTCATCAAATGTACACAGCAATTCTACAATAGACACTGTTAATGCCCCCTTTTACCAGTTAAGAATGGGGGGTGGTTGTTTTGGTTTTTTCATTTGTTTGTTTAGGGTTTTGGGTCACACTTGTCAGTGCTCAAGGGTTACTCCTGGCTCTGCACTCAGTGATCACTCCTGGAGGTGACAGGGGGAGAGGGGACTGTATAGGATGCCAGAGATCAAACTCAGGTCTGTCACCTGTAAGGCAAGTGCCCTACCCCTTGTACTATCACTCAGACCCCAAGAATCTCAGCTTTGGTGAGGAATATCAAACCCATATAACCAGCATATGGCCTACCTAAAACTAAACGCTCTATAGCTGCTCTGGGTCTCACATTATAGTTTGTCATTCCTGAGACATGTTGGATATTAACCCCAAGTGTCTAGGCTTCATCAGTGAATTGCCCCTTTTTCTCCCCCCAGAGAAGCGTACAGTGCTCTTACGAGCAGTCCTAATCCACGAGTTTATCTTTAACCTTTCCTCTTTGCTTTACCTCTCGTTCTGTTAGCTACTAAATTCCCCAAGTCAGCCTTGGTTACTTATAAAGTCAAACTTTCTAGTGACTCTGGACTTTGTATCTGTAGTGAATTATTTGCTTTTCTCTTTCCCCTATAACTTCTTCATATTTTACTATAGAACAATGTTCTTTGCTTAAACTCAGTGAGACCGTTAATGCTATGCTTCTAATATTTGGGAGTGAATGAACTCTGAAATATATCTACTCCTGGGCATCCATCATAATTGCTTGACTCAGGCTTTAGTTGCCATAGTTCTTGACATCTCCAAAAATCTGGGTCCCACCAAGGGATCACCGGGGCCATCAGTAAAGCTACCCTGGCTTTGATATGCAACAATCTAGAAATCATAAGTCACAGTTGTGATATAAGCTGTAGGAACCTCAAAGATAGGACCCCATGGAGTAGGAAAAGCTAAACTTGACTGCGGTCTTAGTCCGGGATTTACAGTGACAGCCCAAGGGGCTTTTAACCCTTGCCCTTGGATCCCAGAGAACTCAGTTTTGGAATCTATATTCCTTACTGCATTTATACAAAGAACTGCAAATATAAATAAGAAGTAAACTTAATTGTTTAATTTGTACTAGCAGCAAGGAAAAGAAAAAAACAATACAGATGGAATGTTGCCTTGGGCAGATTTCTCAGAAAAGCCTCTAGACAGAGTGTCTCCTTGAGTTAATTCCCCCCCCCCCAAAAAAAAAATAAAAGAATTACCTCTTCTCTAACGCTTTACCTCTGTAGATGATCAATCACACCTACATGCAGTTCTGTATACCTCGAACCCCTCAGATTTCCTATAATAAGGCTATTCGGTCCCAACACATTTTGGCTCACAAGACTGACTAGTAGTCAGGTTATTATTTCACATTAGTCAGAGACAACAGAATAAGAGGTAAAGCAAAGTTTCTCCTAAGGATTAATGCAGCTTCACAAACAGATGGTGATCTTCTTCTTCTCCTTCTCCTCCTCCTCCTCCTCCTCCTCCTCCTCCTCCTCCTCCTCCTCCTCCTCCTCCTCCTTCTCCTCCTTCTCCTTCTTCTCCTCCACATCTTCCTCTTCCTCCTCCACATCTTCCTCTTCCTCCACCACATCCTCCTCTTCCTCCTCCTTCTTCTCCGCAGGGGTGGGGGTGGAGGAAGACACCCATTAGTGCTCAGGACTTACTTTTGGCTCTGCACTCAGGGATCACTCCTGACTGGGCTTTAGGTACCAGGGATTGAGTACCCTGTGGTACCAGGGATTGAGCCCAGGTCAGCTATGTGCAAGACAAGTGCCCTGCCCTCTGGTCGATTGTTCAGGGCTCTTCATTCCACTTAATACACTGCCATGAGAGAGAGGAAAATAGGAAGACAGAATTCTTGATCTGAGGACATAGGGAAAGGGGCTCCCCACACTAAAACGGGCCCTTGCCCGTGGGTGCTGACCTCTAAAGCAGCCTCACTGATCCCTTAAGCCCTAGCAACCTCATGGCTCTGTGACTCTCCGCAGTGGCAGTGACCCTGGACCAGGACACAGCGCACCCCAAGCTCATCCTCTCTCCGGACCGGAGGTCTGTGAAGCTGGGAGACAGAAGGCAGCCTGTGCCTGACAACCCCCAGAGATTTGATTTCGTCGTCAGCGTCCTGGGCTCTGAATCCTTCACGGCCGGTTGTCACTACTGGGAGGTGAATGTGAGGGACAAGACCAAATGGATCCTGGGGGTATGTAGCCAGTCAGTGAGCCGGAAGGGGAAGGTCACTGCCTCACCCGCCAATGGACACTGGCTATTGCGGCAGACTCGGGGAACTGAGTATGAAGCTCTCACATCCCCCCAGACCTCCTTCCGCCTGAAGGAATCCCCTCGATGTGTGGGGATCTTCCTGGACTATGAAGCAGGAGTCATCTCCTTCTACAATGTGACCGACAAATCCCACATCTTTACTTTCACCCACACTTTCTCTGGCCCCCTGCGCCCTTTCTTTGAACCCTGCCTTCATGATGAAGGGAAAAACACCGCCCCTCTCATCATCTGTCCAGAACTCCAGGAACCAGAAGAATCACCCAAGGCCAAAGAAAAGGGCCATGCTAACGGGGATGTGAAGGTGGACCCTTCCCTATTGCCTCCTCAGGCTCCAGCTGCTTCCCCACTCACCAATACCATCCTGCCTTGGGCCTCCGAGCTGGGCCCAGCCCTGCAGGGCCTCAAGGCTCCTTCTTTCTAGGGACATCCTCGGTCCACTTTCCTAGTCCTCCAGCCAGTGCTTGGAGCTCAGTCTTCTGGCCCTAAACTGCCATCCAGAACATGTTACTTCCTTTCTCCAAATCCTTATCCTCTGGTGGTTTTTATTGGATCAGCTTTTCCCCAGGGTTCATTTCTAACTCCTGTCTTCTCTCCGGAGACCCGAAGTTCCTGATGCCTTGGCAGAAGAAATCTGGCAAACCAGGATGCAATCAATCCGGTTTAGGTGGTGATGCAGAAGGTGGGCCACCCAGATACATGCTTCTTCTCTGTTCCTAAGACAGCCTCCTGTTGGATGCCGCATGTGCAGGAGTTCGTTGGGCCTGAGGTTATGGTGGCCAGCCCCTGATTTTTTGTTTGTTATTTTTTTTGGGGGGGGGGTAGCACACCTAGCAGTGCTCAGGCCTTTCTCCTGGCTCTTCACTCAGGGATCATTCCTGGCAAGACTCAGGGGACCATGTGGGTTGCGAGGGATTGAACCCTCGTCAGCCGTGTGCAAGGCATTTGCTCTATCCACTGAATTATTGCTCTGGTCTGGCCCCAACTTCTTACTTCACCTCAAAAATTTCTCTTTCCAGTTCAGGTCTCCAAGTCACAAAGCCAGTTTTCTAAAAGGAAACATATTTTGGATTCCACACTCTTTAATCTGGACTACCGGAGGCAGGGAGAGGCAGAGGGCCAAAACATGTCACCCTTTTCTCTTATTGATCGTCACAGCAAACATTTGCTGACATCCAGAGCAAATGTATGTGTTTGAGAAATGAGTGAATGTTACCTATTGATGACAACCAGAGGAAGGGACTTTATTTATTTTCTTTTTGTTTGGTTTGGGTTTTTTTTTTTTTTTTGGCTTTTTGGGTCACACCCTACGATGCTCAGGGGTTATTCCTGACTACTTCTCTCAAAAATTGCTCCTGGTGGTGCTCAGAGGGACCATATGCAATACCAAAAATTGATACTAGGGATCGAACTCAGGTAGACCATATGCAAGCAAATGCCCTACCCAGTGCACTATCATTCCAGTCTCTCTTTTTGTTTTTTGTTTTGTGTCGTTTTGGTTTGGGGCCACACCTGGTGGTACTAAGGGCTTACTCCTGGCTCTGTGCTCAGGGTTCAGTCTTGCCAGGGTTTGGAAGACCGTGTGTGGTGCTAGGGATTGAACCCCAGCTGACTATGTGCAAGCAAGCTGTACTCTCTCTCCAGTCACAGAGGCAGGAATTTAAAGTGGTCTTCGTAGACTCAGGAGCAAATCTCGAAACCCAGTGGCTTTTGGCAGAAATCCTTCCAGATTTAAGTGTTAAAATTTTGGAATTTCAAAATCACATGGCCCTACTGCAGCCACGCGACATCATATGTTATTCATAACCAGCAACAGAACACAAATTGTCTATTCTTGCCTTTTCAGCAGATCTGAGTGTTGGGGTAAAATCTCAAATAATAATGGTGGTTCTGGTGTCAAAATATTGAATGTGATCAAAGTAGAGAAAGAGAGTAATGTGGAAATCATCTGCCCCAGAGGTAGGGGGAGGGTGTGGGAGGGGGGTATACTGGGGTTTTTGGTGGTGGAGAATGGGCACTGGTGAAGGTACAGGTGTTTCATTGTATGACCGAGACTTAGACCCAAAAGCTTTGTAACTGCTCTCTCACAGTGATTCAATAAATAAAATTATAAAAGATGAAAAAAAAAGTAAGGTGGAGTTCATGCACAATTCAATCAGCTAATCAGTGGCTGAATAAATAGCAGTACTCCTGTAGGAGTATATGTAGGAGTATATTTTTTTATGTATAAAATAAATAAATAAATGGTCTCTGTAATCCTTAAAAATCTCAGGAATAGGGGCTGGAGAGATAGCACAGCGGGTAGGGCGTTTGCCTTGCACGCGGCTGACCCTGGTTTGATCCCCAGCATCCCATATGCTCCCCTGAGCACTGCCACGAGTAATTCCTGAGTGCAGAGCAAGGAATAACCCCTGAGCATTGCTGGGTGTGACCCAAAAAGGAAAAAAAAGAAAAGATATGTAAAAAATAATAGTCAGGTTGCTGGGGATTCTTGGGCTTTGAAGTCTGACCTTACATAGACAGATGAGTACATCTCTGCAGCTGGCCCTTTGAATCGGTTCTGGAATTCAGAGAATCCCTGTTTTTGTTCTGTTGTTGTTATTTGTTTAGCATTTTTGAGGTGCAGGACTCAAATCCAGGGCCTCACACTTGCAAGTGCTTCATTGCTGAATCCTATCCCTGGCCCAAGAACGACTGGTTTAATCACCAGGGTAGATGTTGTTTCCCTGTTGAGCTGTCTGTGTTGCAAACAGCCTGTTAGGTCAGAGGGTATTGATTTCCAATAGGAAGCTGGTAGACCAGAATGAGAAGCTAGAGTAATGAACCTGTTTTTTGCTGTGCATCGCAAAAAGAAGCCAAGACTCTATCCCGTCACACCGCACATGTCATCTGGCCTTTTTATGGACACTGGGGCTCAGTTGAGCTGAGCTTTCCTCCAACACAACTCTACCCAACAGAAACCAGAACTTTCTAGTTGTTGGAAGTTCTCTCTGCCAGTGCTCACATTAGTCAGCTCACCACTGTGAAAGCTGATATGCTTAAGACCCGAGATTGAGTCTGAGATAGGAAGAAAAGCAAATGTTACAGTCAAGGTTACCAAGCAGGAAGGGTTCTCTTTTGATTTTGGGGCCACATGGGCAATTCTGGATTCTAATTCTCAGAAATTACTCCTGGTGGTGCTCCGGGATGTTAGGGATCGAACCTTTGTTGGCCTTGTGCAAGGCAAGCACCCTACAGCTATACTATCTTGCCAGCCCCAGGATTTCTCTTTTTGGGGGATCAGTTAGATTCTGTTTGTTTTCTTTAGGTCATCAGTTGATAGATGGAACCCATCAGCATTGGGGTGGGCAAACTTCTTAGTTCATCAGAAGTTTGCCCACCTTAATTATGAACCAACTTAAACGTCAGTCTCACCCAAAAGCACCCTTAAGAAATACAATTTGCGTGTGTGGGGGGCAGCTGGGGGATTGAACCCCAAGTCCTCACACATGCAAGACAAGCGCTCTGCTGCTGCTGAGCTATATCCGTGACCCTCTATTTTGATTTGTTTTAGGGCCACACCCAGGAAGGCTCCAGGCTTACTCCTGGCTCAGCTCTCAAGGATCACTCACTCCTAGAGGGGTTCTGGGGACCATCTATGGTGCTGGGGGCTGAATCACAGGTTGACTAAATACAAGGTTACTGCTCTGGCCCCGGTACTCTCAAAATACTCGTCCATGACCCTAAAACTACTTGATTCAGTGTCTGGGTACCCTTAGCCCAGTCAAGTTGAAACCTAAAATTAATCATCACAGGGCCTGAGTGGAAATTCATTTGCTTTTGTACAATTCTTCAATAAAAATTTGCTATCCGTCGCTTGGCATGTTGTTATTTTCACAGTGAATGAGAAGTTGTGGGCAAAGTCTTTGGGCTAGCAAGAGAAAAACACATTATAGGATTGGTTTCCAAACCACTGGAATCCAGGAAAGTTTTAACCACAGTTAAAAATAAAGTCACAGTTTTACTTCTGAGTCTGCCTTCTCAGCATTTTATTTATATCGGCTTATAAACTAATGGTATTTATGGAGTATTTATATTTCGCTCATTCATATTAAATTTCAAACACACTTTTCTTTAACATCCCGATCCTGAAACCAATTCATGTTGCTCACCAACGGGCACCCAAGAGAATTTACCAGCAGGAAATAGAATTTACATTTGTGGAGGCAGAAGCTTTATTATGTTAATTCACTTAATCCTCACAACAATTCTTCCAGGGATTTTAGAAGGGAGGAAAATGGTGCTCCAAATCACGAGGTGGTAGAACTCGGATTATAAATCTGGTTTATCTTGCTGTGCTCTTCGCCCTGAAACACACAGAGCAGAGATGAGAAACAACTGTAGAGCTTAGCCCACATCGTGATTAGACTGAAAACACACACACACAAACCAAAACACCCACACACCCCCAGCACACACATACACACACACACACACAACTATAGAGTTTAGCCCACATCGTGATTAGACTGAAAACACACACAAACCAAAACACCCACACACCCCCAGCACACATATACACACCCCCAACACACGCACACACAACTGTAGAGTTTAGCCCACATCGTGATTAGACTGAAAACACACACAAACCAAAACACCCACACACCCCCAGCACACACATACACACCCCCAATACACACACACACACAACTGTAGAGTTTAGCACACATCGTGATTAGACTTAAAACACACACAAACCAAAACACCCACACCCCCCCAGCACACACATACACACACCCCAACACACACACACACACACACACAAAACTGTAGAGTTTAGCCCACATCGTGATTAGACTGAAAACACACACACACAAACCAAAACACCCACACACCCCCAGCACACACATACACACACCCCAACACACACACACAACTGTAGAGTTTAGCCCACATCGCGATTAGACTGAAAACACACACACACACAAACCAAAACACCCACACCCCCCCAACACACACACACACAGACACACACCCCTTAAAGGGAAACGCTCCTAACCCCGGGCATAATTCAGCGTTTTGTTGTTTCTGAATTGTGAAGGTCAGGCTAATCCCTGCAGAGGGGCGTTGGCAGATCCCGGGGCGTTTTCTTGGACTGGCAAACGTTTCGCTCCTCTGCCAGGCGCTGTGCGGTGGCTCGTGTTCCAGTTCGACACTCCCGGACCTTAACTATCCCACCGCAGGCTGGGGTGGGGGGACGTGTCGGGGTGTCAGGGTCACCAACTCGGGGTTGGGCGGACAGCTGGGCGGGCCGGGGCCCTCGCCAGGTGAGACTGGGGTTGGATCGCCGGCCCAGCTCGGTCCCCCAAGGAAGCGGACCCCCGACCACAGAGCCGGAAGTGGCCCTGTGCCGGGTGTGGCCCCCCACCCCTTCCTCCGCCCCCACCCCGCCGCCCAGAGGGTCGCTAACTCGAAGCCGACACGGAGCCCGAGACTCCCTGGAGGATGTGTAGGCTGCTTTCCTGCGCCCCAACCATCCCCGGGCCCCTCCTGCTCGCTTCCTAACGCGCCGGGAGCCCCGCGACCTCCGCAGGGAAGCGGTCTCGGGCGGCCGGGAGGAAAGTTTGCAAGTTTGGGGTCCGACGATTTCTTTTTTTTTTTCCTTCCTTCGGACTCCAACTCCCAGCAGGCCACGCCCGAGGAGCGAGCGGATTGGCGCTCACGCCTGGGTGTCTCGCGGGGTGGCAGCTGGGACAGCCAATGGGAAGGAAGGGCAGTCTCCGCGCGCCAATGGCGGGGCGCGGGGGCGGGTCCCGCCCGGGTTCCGGCTCCGGCTCCTCCCTCGGCCCTCGGCGGCGGCACTGTCTCTGACCGAGCGGCGGGAGCGAGGTGGGTGCGGGCCGAGCCCCGGGTCGCGTGGGGGTGGGGTGGGGGGGAAAGGGCGCTCGCCGTTCCGCGGGCCACTTGGTGTGGCCCCCCGAGCCCTCTTCCGGGGCCCGGAGCCCGTGGCCTGGCTCCCGGACCGAGCGGGGAGCGGATGGGGCCCTGCGCGGCCCCCCCCACCCCCCACCCGCCACCCCGCCACCCCGGCCCGCGCCTCGGGTCCGGCCCTCCGCTGCCCCCCGCTCGGCCCGGGGGGCTCCAGCCCTCCCCCTCCCCCTCCTCCTGCGGCTCCTGCGGGTCTCCCGGCCCCGAGCCCCGCCGCCGGCCGCCGCGAACCCCGCTCGTGCGCGCTGCTGGTGCCGCCGACTCCGCCATTCGCGGCCGCTCGACCCGGGCGCTCGGGCCACGCCGCGGTCCCTCGGCCGCTTTCGTCTCATTTTTTTCATTTATTTTTAGACCTTCCTCCCCCTCCGCCGCCGCCGCCGGCCCGTTTCCGAGTCGCCCGGCACACTTCTCCGCTCTCGAGTCCCTCCCCCCACCCCCACCCCAGCAGCCCCCCACCCCTCGGCTTGTCCCCCGAGACGGGGAACTTTGGCCCGCAGACAACTTTCCAGCTGCGCCCCTCGGAGCCCCCGGCGTCGGCCTCTGCTCCCTCTGGCCCCGCGTTTTATTTTATTTTATTTTTTCTTTTAATTTTTTTGTTTTTTTTTGGGGGGGGGGTCACACCCTGCGGGGCCCGGGGGAGCCACGCGGTGCCGCCGGTTACGAAAGCGCCCCGCGTGCGCTCCGGCCCTTGGAGCCGCTTCCCGGCCGGGGGGTCCCCCCGCGCGCTTAGGCGCGCCCGCGGGTCGTTGGGGAGCCCCGGCCCCCCGCGGGGTCCCCCCCAGCCTCGGGGAACCAGCCTGTGTGGGTCCCGGCTTTTGTGTGTGTGTGTGTGCGGGGTTTTTATTTTTGTGTGTGTGTGTGTGTTTTCTTTTGCGGGTTTTTTTTTTGTTTTGTTTTTTGGCGGGGGTGTTCTTTTGTTTTGGGTTTCTTTTTTTTTGTTTGGTTTTTTTTTTTTTTTGGTTCTGGGCCACACCCGGCTGTGCGCAGGGCTTACTCCTGGCTCCGTGCTCAGGGGACCATATGCAGTGCAGGGGATCCAACTCAGGTCCGCTGCCAAGGCGGGCGCCGACCCAGGCTACCATCTCTCGGGACCGCGGTGCTGTCTCTAGGGCCTGCCCCCCCCCCCCCCAGGTCTTCGAAAGGTGGCTCAGGCGCCTTTGTGTTTTACTTAGAGCACTTTTTTGGGGGGGACACACACACAAACACACACACGTTCTCCGCGAGCCCTGCTTCGTTCAGGAGACCTCGTACTCAGCGCTGCTTATGCCGATCTCTTCAAGGGAGATTAGCCTAGTTGGTCTGAACTCCTCTCGGTGTTGTTCTTTCTTTCTGTCTTGCCTTACCCAGCCCTCCCTCTGACCCCCTTTCCTTAACCTTTTGATTCCGCCTTCCAAAAAGTTGAAATTTTGTTTAAAAGACATTTGTTCGGATTGAATGGGCAGAGGTCTCGGTTTTCTGCCACTCATCTGCTCCGTGTCACCGGGGGCAAATGATGATTAATCCTGTTTTTCTCTGCTCTGAAATGTCTGAGTGGGCTTTTCGTGGACCGTGCTCAGCCCGGGGCCGAGCACTTGATAAAGAACTTAAATATTTGCTGGCAGGCTGGAGTCTGAGTGCGCACTTTGCATGCAGGAGGCCTGTGTTCAATTCCCAGCGCCATATGGCCCCTGAGCTCTGCCAGGTGTGGCCCAAAAACCACACACAAAAATATTCATTGTTGGGCGGGGGAGATAGCTCAAAGTCCTGGAACTCTGTGCTTGGCCGTGCTGGGCTCAATCCCCAGCGCCATGTGACCCCCTGAGCACCCTGGGTGTGGCCCCCAAACCAAATATGTACGTTCGCTACTATTATTGGTCACGGTGTAATTTGCCAGGTGTTGTGTGGGTGCAAAAGTGAGTGAGGCATAGTTCCTGGCCCCTCCAAGTTCATCTTGTCCTCTTGATGCACTTTGGGTGAGGGGAGGAACCTTAATCATAAATCACGTTCCTTTTATTTGGACCTGCCCATGGCTGTCAGCAGGGTCAGAGTTTGCTGGGTCCTAGGTTCTCAGAAAAATCAGGATTGAAAGTCAGTGGAGGCCACTTTCCCTTTGCGGGTTGGGGGGTGGTGTTTGGAATCTTAGGGGCAGTAGGAGTAGCTGGGAAGTGGGTTCACTGGACCTTGTGCTGCAGAGAGCTTAATGAAGTGACCCAGTGCTGCTCTCAGTGGTGTTCTTGTGGAATCAGACAGATCAAGGCAGATTACTGAAAATGGTACAAGAATCTATGGGAAAATGAAGGAGAAACTTCCACTGAACCATAAGTTTGCTGAAGATCAGCGGGGCCAAAGATCCATAAATGAGCGTGAAAAAGCTCCGAAGGCAGTCCTGACCTTCGTTTATTCAGTTTAGCAAATACTTGCTAAGGATACGGTTTTGTGACTGCCTCTGCTCCGAATTAGGGTTACATTCCTTGAGTGAGTCAAGAACTAACACCGACCTCTGTGGAAGCTGTGTTTTAGCCATGAGGGGGGGGACAGGAAGAGGCGGGCGAGGGGGGTCTATTCATAAGAATCATCAGGAAATGGTGAAAACACCAGTGAAGAAATTTTATCTGACACTATTCTTGAAAGGAATAAATATTCTTAGGGCCTAGAGAGAGAGTCCAGTGGGTAGTGCGCTTAGCTTGCATGCGGCCAACTTTACAGGTTTGCTGCTCCCTGGCACCCTGTATGGGTTCCTGAGCCCCGCCAGGAGTAAATCCTGAACATGAGGTGTGACAATGGAAAAAAAAATACTTTTTCTAACAGATAATAGATTGGCAAGTAGCAGAAGAGTCACGGGGTGGGGGGAGGGTTCCAGTATTTCTTGGCCTGTGGTTTGCAAGGGTCTAAAGATGCAGGCATTGATGACCTAGGCCACCTCAGCGATGCCGGTGATGGAGAGGGTATTAGCTGTGTGCAAGGCAAGGACTTTAATCCCTCTGCTATCCTCTCTCCGCTCCTTTATTTAAGGGCGGGGTGGGGTTGTGGTCAATGCTGGGGATAGAACTCAGGTCAGCTGCATGTAAGGACGCCTTAACCAGCAGGACTATCTTCTCCGGCTCCTCCCCCCTTTGTTGTAGATCAGTGTTTACCAAAGTAGGTGTACTACCCCATAGGGGAGGGCCCTGGAATGATCGAGGGGGGCTGGCAGTAGGAACCTGGGTGCAGTGGGGGTGCTTTATGGAGGGGAGTACTTAGTAATATTTCCAAAAGGGGACTGTGGGCCAAATAAGTCGGGAAAGCTCGGCTTTAAATAAAGTTTTATTGGAATGCAGCCACATTTATGTGTTCTTTATGGCTGTTGGGATACAATGACAGAGTTGAGTGGTTGTAAAAGAGCCTATGGCCCCAATGTTAATATTTGCTTAAAAGTTAGCTGGCCCTCTTGCAAAGAGGTGAGGGTTTGTCGTTTACATTTTAGATGATACACAGGTTTATTTTACTTTTTCTAGATACATATTTTTTTCCACCTGTGACTCCAGGCAGGCTCTAAGGAGGAATGTTTTCAATCTCCTCTCTGAATTTTATGGAGACTTACTTTACCCTTCTATTTAGCTAGACAAAGGTTGATGGTTTTTTTTTTTTTCCTTAGGAAAGGATTTTTGGTGGGGAGGGTTGTTTTGTTTCTGGGCCACACCCAGTGGTTTTCGAAGGTTGTTCCTGGCTGTGTGCCCAGGCATCACTCCCTGTGCTCGGGACCATCCCTATGTGGGCCCAGGATAGAACCTGAGTGGGTCATATGCAAGACAAGTGCCCTCCCTGCTGAAGTGTCTGGCCTGCAAAGGTTTTTTCCCCCTCTTCTCTCAAGATCACATAAGGAACCTTTTTTATTCTTAGTACTTCATCTCATTGATAGGCTCTTGGGAACATTATTACATTATTTGGGTGAGAATTGGGCGACATTCGACTGTGCTTCGGCGGGGTGTCATGAGGTGCCTGGGATACTCTGCCAGGGTCATGCAAAGCACTTAGCCTTTGAGCTATCTCTGGCTCCTGGAAACTGACTTTAAACAAAACGTGTAAGCAAAGCGGGTCCTTGAATAACATTGTTTTGTTCCGCAGTTGCCAGAATTGTTCACTCCTCATTGCCACCATGAAGAAGCCAAAGGACGGTGTTTGAGAACTTGCTTGTATTCTTCACGGGGCTGGCACATTGTGTCTTCAACATTTGCTAGTAGGCCGGAGAGCTGGAGGGCCTGTGGGCAGGAGGCTGGGAGGGATGGTCCCCCCAGCACTGCAGGGTGTGGTCCCCTAACCAAACAACCATTGTTGCTGATTTTTCTTTTTGTGTGGGATTGGGTGTGGTCCTAAGGCCGAACCAAAACAAACAGTTGTTACTGAGTGTGTGTGTGTGTGTGTGTGTGTGTGTGTGTGTGTGGTGGGGGTGGAATCCAGTTCTCAGACATGCAAGTCATATACTTTGCTGCTGAGCCATATGCCTGGCTCAAATCTTCAGTAATTGTAGTGCCAGCTATCATTTGCTGAAAGACAGACTACATTGAGTGTATACAGGCATTTCTTTGCATAAAGCCCTATAGTACAGGCGTAATCGTAGTAGTTAGAATCTTATAAGAGTAGAGGTTTAAAGCGTCAAGTGCATAATTTCCAGAGTTATAAAGTGTCACTGTTGGGATCAAGTCCTAAATGTAGTCAGAGTCAGTGCCCCTTCCATTCTGTTCTGTTTTTCAAAAATAATTGAAATGATGGCGGGGGGGGGGGGTTGCACCCAGCAGTGCTCAAGGGATATTCCTGGCTCTGTGTGCTGGTGATCCTGGTGGGTGCAAGGCAAGCACCTTAGCCCGTGCACTGTCCTCTAAATGTCATTTCTTCAAGGCCCACAGTAGCACCATTCTCATTATAAGGACTTTCACTGGGGCTGGAGCTATCTCACAGCAGGTGGGGCATTTGCTTTGTATGTCGCCAACCCTGGCTTGATCCCCGGCATCCCAGTCCTCCAGCACCACCAGGAGTAATTCATGAGTGCAGAGCCAGGGGTAACCCCTGAGAATTGCAGTGTGTGACCCAAAAAGAAAAAAAAAGCCCACTTTGAGAGTCTGAGTCTGCCTCTGCTGTTGGACTATCTCTACTCTCTGTATCTTACACTGTCTGTAAAAAGGCTTTGTGCTGGGTTGGGGGCAGGGTGTCAGGGTGTGTGTGTGTGTGTGTGTGTGTGTGTGTGTGTGTGTGTGATGTGAGACCACAACTTAATGGTATCATGTCTGGACGATGTGTGGGAGCTGTATTGTGTATGTGGTGTATTTGGCTACATGTGACTTTGAGGTCTGTGGTTTGGAAATTGAGCTAAGTATTTGGTGTGGGAGTGTGGTGGGTGGTATGTGGTATGAATGAACACAGACTGGTGGTATATGAAACATGATGGTGGATATTGACCAATCAGAACAAAGTTCAGGCCTTTCGGTAGTTGGGGGGGTCACACCTGGCAATACTCAGGGGTTACTCCGGGCTCTGCACGCACTCCTGGCGGTGCTCAGCGGGACCATATGGGATGCTGTGTAAGGCAAGAACCTACCATAATCACTGTTTTATCATTCTGGCCTACCCGTGTTAACTTTTTGTGGGTTTTGGACCACACTCTGGTGCTAAGGGTTGATGTTCATTTAGTAGGGAAATGGATGGACACTTTTTTGGGGTGGGGTTTTTTTTTTCCAATTTGTTTTTGGGGTCACGCCGGTGATGACTTGGGTTACTCATGGCTCTGCACTCAGGAATTATTCTTTCAAGAATTATTCGTGGCAGTAATCAGGGACCATATAGGATGCTGGGGATTCAACCTGGGTTGGCTGCATGCAAGGCAAACGCCTACCTGCTGAACTATCACTCTGACCCCAGATACTTTTCGTTGGTTTTGTTTTGGAGCTACGCTGGCCATTTGTAGTGCTCAGGGGACTAGGTAGTACCAAGGTTTGAACCTCCAGCATGCAGACATTCAATTAGCACAATTGACCCATTTCTCCAACCCTCCGTGAATGTTTTGTTTTTGTTTTGGGCCACACTAGCGGTGCTAAAGACTTAGTCCTTTTGCTGCTCAGGGATCACTCTTAGAGGCCCTTCTGGAACCAGATGTTCTGGGGATCGAACCTGGGCCGGCTGCATGTGTATATCATTTTGGCCCCAGCATGGCTGCATTATTTTATTTATTTTGGTTTTTGGATCACACCCAATGATGCTCAGGGGGTTCTCCTGATTCTGCACTCAGGAATTACTCATGGTGGTACTTGGGGGGGGGGGGGAACCATGCTGGGGATCAAATCCGGGTTGGTCACATGCAAAGCAAATGCCCTACTCACTGTACTATTGCTCCAGCCCCAGCATGGAGGCTTTGTAAGGAAAATCTTTTGTTTGTTTGGTTTTGGGGCCACGCATGGTGGTCCTTAGGGGCTGATCCTTGCCGGGGCCAGGAAAATAGTTATTTTTTTAGGAAGATGTTTTTAGTTTTGGTTTTCTTGGGACAGACATTCGTTCTCAGGCCACTGATCATGCAGCACAGGGAACCAAACTCTGCATTCAAAGCATGCGCTGCACTTCACTGTGCTCTTTCTTTCTTTCCCAACTGAAGATATTTTTTGTTAATTTTAAGTTTAAAAGGAGTGGATCCATTCTCTTACACAGGAGTACGAACTTACTCAGAAGTGTGAACTTAACCCAGTGGTAGCTCTTTTGCTTGGCCATGAGTTACAGTCTAGACTCTCGTTCAGATTTTTTTTTTCCAGGTAGCATGTAGATTGCACGAGGTTGGTGTCCTCTTGCTCTTTTGGGTGGCTTTAAATAGAAAGTTTTTCGCTCGAGTTAGTAGAGGCGTCCCAGACAAGTATTCCGGCAGATTGAGGTTATTTCTGCTGTGTGTTCCTTGAGTCAGAGAACAAGGTTCCCTGTGGTCTGGCCTGACTCGGGGAATCAGGTGTCGGTCATTTGTGTTCATCCTCAGGGTTCAGAGATGGGCAGCGAGAAGGAGCAGAGTCCAGAACCCCAGCTGCCTGAGGAGCAGGGTGAGCTCCTGAGAGTGGACGACTCGGGAGGCCTTCAGATCCCAGACGAGGAGAAACCGCATCCGCACCAGAGCCTGGGAGAGTGGCCCCAGGGAATCCATCCCCAAACGCTATGGCAGATAGTCCCTGCCCCAGCTGGAGAGCCAGGGGGCCCGGGTCAAATTGCGTATCCGAGACCCGTGGCCAAGCAGAGGTCTTTCATATGTGCCCAGTGCGGCAAAACCTTCAACAATCCCTCCAACCTGAGAACGCACCAGCGGATCCACACTGGTGAGAAGCCTTACAAGTGCTCGGAATGTGGGAAGAGCTTCTCGAGGAGCTCCAACCGCATCCGCCACGAGCGCATCCACCTGGAGGAGAAGATCTACCAGTGTCCCAAGTGCCAGGAGAGCTTTCGGAGGCGCTCGGATCTCACCACGCACCAGCAGGATCACATGGGCCAGCGGCCCTATCGCTGTGACATCTGTGGCAAGAGCTTTGGCCAGAGCTCCGCGCTGGCTGTGCATCACCGGACCCACCTGGAGCCGGCGCCCTACATCTGCTGCGAGTGCGGGAAGAGCTTCAGCAACAGCTCCAGCTTCGGCGTGCACCACCGCACCCACACCGGCGAGAGGCCTTACGAGTGCACCGAGTGTGGGCGGACTTTCAGCGACATCTCCAACTTCGGAGCCCACCAGCGGACCCACAGAGGGGAGAAGCCCTACCTGTGCCTGGTGTGCGGGAAGTACTTCTCCCGCAGCTCCAACCTCATCCGCCACCAGAAAACCCACATGGGCGAACAGGCCGATAAGGACTACTACTGAAGGGGCAGCCCCGGCCGAGGGGAGCGCCGCGGCCGGGCGAGGGAAGATCTTCAGCGGCCAGTCCTGCCCCCTTCGCCTCAAATCCTCCTGTTTTGGAAATGGTTTCCTAGCGCCCGTGAAGCCAGCATCTCTAGGAAGTCCTGAGAAGGGACTCGAGGAAAAACGCTTTTTTCCTTTTTCCTTTATTTTTTGTTTTTCCTACTCCAGGCTGATTTCCCTGAAAAATCAGAGGGTGTGTTCTTAGCTTTATCTCCTTGGGATGGAAGTAGAAGTAGGGTAGTCATGCACACATCATTAGGGCACCGTTCCCTGGCCCTTGAGGACATACTCGTGTGATGGGCATCACCGTCTGCGGCCCTCCCGGTGGTGTATGAACTGCTTAGGGCACGGTGCCATGGCCTGCTTGCTCCTGCCTTCTGTGCCCCAGCTTTGCTTAGCATCCCCGACTGGGCGGAGCCGCCCGTGGTGGAGGGACCTTGTGGCCAGGAGAAGAGGTCTGAGGTCCAGCCTTAGAATGGAAGAAGCCCTCAGGGAGCCGGGATCCAGGGACCTCACTCTTCCCCTCGTCTGATTGTCACCCCCACCCCAACTCACATGTTCTTACCCTGAGTGATTAGCAGTAAAACCCTTCAAAGAAAGCCTGTGTACTTTCTTGGCGGACGACGGAGAAACGGGTGGGGTGACCCTAATGCAACCCACGGTGGGTGGGTGGGTGGGTGGGTGGGTGGCTGCTCTGAAATGCAGGTGGAGGCAGGTTGAGCCTCTGGATCCTTTAAGGAGGAAGGGACAGTAGCATTTCCCGAGACTGTTCACATCTCAGTCAGCACAGCTCCCCTTTCATAAGATGAATGAGACAGCTCCACTAGTTGGGGGAAATGGGGTCACTTGCTGAGAGGCACACAGAAGGTGGTGTGGGCCAGAGTTCAAAGTCTGGGGAGCTGGGAAACAGATCACGCACTTCGGGAAGCCAGTGCCACGCAAGAACCGTTTCAACTATTATGGGGGATGCACACACATTGGTGCTCAGGGACTGGTCCTAAACTGATCAGTTACTACCCATCTTCCACCCTCCCGGGAGGGTGAGAGCCAGGAGCTTGGTACTGATTTCTTTGTAGGCTTCACACATGCAAGGCAGTTGCACTGCCGTGGCCTGTCTTCCAGAAATCCTGCAGCTCCGTGAAGGCAGGGCAGGGTCTGGAATTACTGCCAAAATTATAAGCTTGTGATTCCCCCCCTCCCCCCCCCCCCTGTTCCTGAGTCTACATGGGGGCCCCAGAAGGAGTGGAGGGTGGAAACCAAAGGTATTGGGCTACACCCACAGTGCTCAGGGATTAGTCCTGCCTCTGCTTGGAAATTATTCCTGGCGGCACTTGGCAGTGTTTGTGGTGCTGGACATTAAAATGGGTTTGACGGTGAGCAAGGCAAGTGCCTTACCAACTGTATTCTGGCCCCGAATTTTCTATGCTTGACTGGAAGCATTTTGATGAAATGCCTTGCCTAGGATTGCACAGCAAATAGAGGGCAGAGTAGGATCTGAAATTACTGCCAAAATTGAAAGCCTGTGACTTTTTCCCCCCTCAAATCCCTCATATTTGCAGAGCAGTTTATAAAGTAATTGCATATGCGTTTCCTGTTCCTTGAAAATTTTAAGTATTTGGTTTTTGGACCACACCTAGTGGTACTCAGGGATCACTCCTGAGCAGCCTCAAGGGACCATATGTGCTGGGAATCGAATCCTGTTTCACCATGTACAAGGTAAGAACTCTACCCACTGTTACTATACCAGCTCTACATGGGTAATATTTTTGGGTTGGGGCCAAGCCTGGCTCTGCTCTGGGGACCATATGTGGTGCTAGGTTTTGGACTAGTATCACTGCAGCAGCCACATGCGAGGCAAATGCCTTAATCTTTATACTAGGTAGACAAAAACATTCTGGGAGGTGAGATGGATGGATTTGGGGCCACACACAGTTGTGCGCGGGGACTGTAGTTCTCTGTGAAGTGCCTACTGAGTAATACTCTACCCCTCTTATCTCAGTTCCTCATAACTGTAAGGTAAAGGAAAATTCTGAGGTGTGGGGCCAGAAAGGAAGTTCATGGGCTAATGTATTAGCCCTGCAGGCAACTGACCATAGTTTGAATCCTGACAAAGCACATGTTCTGAGCACCACCAGGTATGGGCGAAAAAATTCTGAGATTGGGGCTGGAGAGTACAGCTGGCAGGTCACTTACTGGCATGCAACATACCCAGGACCCTGTAGCCTGCCAGTATGATCCCTGAGCACAGCCAGGAGTAAGCCTCAGCTGAGCACAGCTGCAAGTGGCCTCAATAAAAACTGAGGTGTCAGGGAGAATAAACATAATAGGACTCAGCCTGGACCAACCTGGAAGCCCGTGTATAATAAACTTGATCACGGGGCTGGGAAATGGTTCACAGAGGCTTTGCATATGGGAGGCCTGGTGGCCTGGGCTTGATCCCTAGCACCTTATGGCCCCCCTGAGCACCACTCAGTGTGGCCTCAAAACTAGTTTGATGTAGTTAGAGTAATGTGAGCTGTCACAGGAGAAGCTGGTAGGGTAAATGGGAGCCAGGTTTTAAAGGTGGGGGGGAGTGCTGGAGCCATAGTACAGGGGGTGGAACATTTTTCCTGACCTGGAACTGATCTCCAGTATCCCATATGGTTCCCCTTCACACCACCTAGAGTAATTCTTGAGTACAGCGCCAGGAATAACCCTTGAGTATCACTGGATGTGACCGAACAGATTTTATTTTTATTTATTTTTTGCTTTTTTGGGTCACACCCTGCGTTGCTCAGGGGTTAATTCTTGGCTCAGCACTCAGGAATCACTTCTGGCAGTGCTGGGGGACCACATGGGATGCCGGGGATCGAACCGTGGTTGGCCGCGTGCAAGGCAAACGCCCTCCCCACTGTACTATTGCTCCGGCCCTCCATACATTTTAATGGGCATTAGATTCCATAATGAAGCTTTTGGACTGTGGGGGCAGAGAGAGAGTGCAGTTAAGGTTCTTGGCGTCCCACCTTGCATCCCGTTGCCACTAACCCTAGTTCAAATCCCCATTACTGAATATGGCACCTGAACAGAGAGCCAGGAATAGCCCCAGAGTACCTCTGGGTGTGGCTAAACTTGTCTTTTACCCTCAGGAAAAAGCCTTTTGGACCTAGACAATCAAGAGTTTAGAGTAAGAGTGTGGCAGGATCATATCTGCCTTGTAGATAAGCACTCAGGCTAGTGTGGAGTGAGTCAAGACTATTGAGAACCTGCTGATCTATAAACTAGATACCAGTGGAGGCTCTTCTGATCCCTAGGGCGCTCTCTCTCTGCCTTGAAAACCACAGAATGTAGGGCTGGAGAGAGAGTGTGGAATAGGGATTAAGATAGGCTGACCCTTGAGCACTGCTAGTAGTGACCCAGGCTCTTCACCACCTCCCCAAAATCAAGGAAGATTCCACCGAGTAGGGAAGTTGAAATACACAAGTTCTCTGCATTCCTGGGACTTAGGTGCTCGCAATCCTTGCCTGAGCATCTGTGTGGTCTTCATGAACCTTGTCACAGGTGCTGTCGGCTTCCCCAAGAATTGTCACACCCAGCATTTTACAGTTCTTTCTAGAGGTTAGGAGTCAAGGTGAAGTCAAACGTCGAGTCATTAGCTTCCTCTCCTCCCATCACATACCTCACCCCCCTCTGGAAACGTAGGAAGGTTTCACTCTATAGTAGAAAGTTATTTCCCTTTTCTTAGCCTCTGCTGCCAAATACATGCTTAGCAGAACATAGCCCAGGAAACAGTTAACCCATATAATCCACTCCATCACTTAATCACCTAACTTCCCGTTAGTCATCGATTTGCTCGAGCGGGCGCCAGTAACATCTCCATTTGTCCCTGTCGCGTGCTAGTGTAGCCCAATGGCATCTGTTCGCTCTGGGAACATGAAGAGCCTCAAACCGATCGTTCATGATCTTGACGAAGAAGTCTGACCATCTGGTAGGTGGGCGGCCACGCGGTCAATCCACTCCATAAGAGTTACAAAAGGAAATTTAGAGATTCACAAGGCATGTGGATATTAAGGTTCCAGACAGTGGGCTGAGCGTGTGATTTTTGCCCCCTTTCTGAGATCCCCTACTAAAATACCAGAAAAGTTATATAAACTCATACTTCATTTTTCTTTTTGGGTCACACCCAGCAATGCTCAGGGGTTACTCCTGGCTCTGCACTCAGGAATCACTCCTGACGGTGCTCAGGGGACCATATGGGATGCCAGGGATTGAACCCGGGTCGGCCGCATGCAAGGCCTACCCACTATCGCTCTGGCCCCTATATTTCAGTTTTTAAGGGGCCAAGAGAATGGCAGGGAGGGGAAATGGTGACAGGTACAAAAACTTTTAAAAAACTTCTAGAATTTTCTAGAAGTATATATACATAGCCATGCTTTAACAGAGTCGAGTAAGCCATGGGGTAGAACATTAGCAATGGAAGCAAGAGCCAGTCTTCGTGGAAATTCCGGGGCCCCTCTCCGGGTTCTGAGTTTATCATTGGCAAGTGTTCAGTGTCAACTGGGAAGCGTACCTTAAAATGAGGGAGTTTGTGGAAGGCATGTCTATGCCAAAGCTGCACCATTCACTTCTTCGCTGTAAAATAGCAAGTATCTTGCATCGTTTACAACACACACAGGGAGAGAGCGGCACAAACCCCGCAAGGTTTACACTAGAGAAATCCAGTAAATCTTAAATCCTTCCAAAAGACCCATCTCGGTCTCCTGCTTAAGAGAGTGAACTTTTAAGGGAAACCTCTACGAGGGAGAGACTTCAAGGCAACAGAACTGACTCAGTCGGGCCAGAGAGTACAGTGAGGATGGTTCTTACCTTGCTTTCAGGGTAGCACTGTCGCACTGTCCTCCCATTGTTCATCGATTTGCTCCAGCGGGCCCAGTAACTTCTCAGTTGTGAGACTTGTTGTTTCTGTGTTTGGCATATCGAAGACGTCACAGGTAAATCCCCCTACTACCACCAGGAGCGACCCCTGAACAGAGTCAAGTAAGCCCTGAGCAAAGCTAGGTGTGGGCCCAAATCCCCCTAAGACCAAATAATAGCAAAACAAGAAAGCTTGCTAGAAATAACCTGGGCCAGAATGGTAGTACAGCGGTAGGGTGCTTAACTTGCTTGCAGCCAACCAGGTTCGATCCCTAGTGTCCCATATGGTTCCCCAGGCACTGCCAGGAGTAATTTCTAATTCCTGAACGCAGAGTAGCCCTGGAGCATCACTGGGTGTGGCCCCAAGGCCCAAAAAACAAAACGAAAAAAAAGGCTTTTGAAATTGAAAGCTGAAAATAAAATATTTTCTAGACCAGAGACATAGCTTGTGAGTTTCCAAGAAAAGCACTGTGGGGGCACTCGAGGGTCAAGAGCGTTCTGTGGCTGAGAACCGTTCCCATGGCCAGCCCACGGCAACGGACAGATGAAGGAAGGACCAGGGGAACGGAGAAACCGGGCCCCAGGTTGGTTCGGCAGACAGTTTATTTCTCCTCCCCAATGTAGTCTGATCTCTCCCTTACAGTACAATGTAGTCATAGTTTTGGTCGTAGTCCCAGTCATCATAGTTCCATCAACCTAGCCT